GCATTTCCATTACCTCTGGCTCCACCTGCTTAAACTGCTCTTCCATCTCTTTCTGAAGTTGCTTCTCCTTGTTACTCTCCTTTATCTCCAACACAGTAGATGTACGTGGGGATGGTGAACTCCTTTTGAAAACATTAGAGTAAAATTCTTCCGCCTTCTCAACAGTGTTTAATCGATATCTTTCTCCATTATACCTCAGAATTATACCAGTTGGAGCATCCCACCGAAATGGAATTTGTTGTTTTTTTAATTCATTCACCAAGAATCCAAAATCCTTTTTATCTTTTAACATCTTAGGTGGTAGTTCTTTATAAACTCCAATCTCCTTCCCCTCCACTTGGACAGTAGAGAGAAAAGACTTTTGCAAGATATCATTTCTCATTCTTCTGTCTGTAAAGTATATTACCACATCTCTAGGCAATTGTCTTTGTCTGGCCACCCACGAATTCACTGTAAATTTTATCAATTTTGCAAAAAATCTCTTCAGGGCTAATCTTTAAGAACACAGCAAGAGCATCAGAACAAATCTGTCTCAGATCTTGTCTATCATTCTCTTTTATGTCTCTCAGCCTCATGGCAAATTCCATTGACCTGAATTGTATCATTATAATTTCATTTTCAAATCTCTGCATTTTATTGTCAGCATCAAAAATTTTATAGTCAGTCTCCTTCATTTTGACATCCATTTCTAATTTAAATACTTCCACCTTAGCATCCGTTTTAATAATTGCTTCTGATAATCCAGTCACCACTGTCATTAATTTATTAGTCACCTTATCATACTTTTCTTGCACCACCTCTTTAATTTCTTTAATCTCCTGCTTAATTTCCTGTTGTGATTCTTTAAATTTTTCATCCAAAACCTGGGTAATGAAATCCTTTAAGCTTTCAAGGTCAATCTCTTTTTTCTGGCTCTGCTGGCTGGGAGGCTGCTGTTCAGGCTTACGTGTGGGGGATCCCCCCCCTGCCGCCTTCCCTTCCTGTTTGGTCTGCTTAGAAGCCATCCTGCCACGTAAGCTAGCTTTTCCAAAAAAATAAATCCTTTTTCCCTTTCCTCCTCCACAAAGTCCTCTAAAAAATTCTCCCAGGTTTAATCAGAATAAGGGTGAAATTGAAGCAAAATCAGACTTATTTTAAAGAGAGTTTTCTTTTCTCTTCCTCCACTTGTTACAGACAATGCAACTTTGTAACTAGTTGAAATCCACTCTCGCTTTCAGCTCGTTAACGCTGAAGCCGGGCGCCATTTTCAAGAGACTTTCACTCACTCACTCTTCCGTTTTAGAATAAATCACAGGGCTAGTAATACTTGCAGTTTTTAAGGTCCAAGTTCTTCCACCCTGGTAGTTTGAATTGCTTTGTTTTCAGTAAAAAGAGGTTGCTCCTGGCGCCTTGTTCTGCGCTAGGCAGACTCGTCCCACGCTGTCCGGAGTCTCGGCGAGCTGAAAGGGAGTCGCGCCTGTTTCCTCCCCAGAAGCAAACGATAGCTTTCTGGGGGCTCACAGGGGCTCAACCTGCTTCTCACCCACTCTCTTCCAATAATCCTGCAGGATTCTGGAACTTCCGAGCCGCTTCTCTTGATCGAAGCGGCTCTAACAGGCAGCGGGGCTGGCGGTCCAAAAATGGGAACATCTTTCGGCGTCAGGAAGCCGCAAGTCTGTCTTGTTGTTAGGGGTGGGGGCCCTTTTGATGGCTGCAACTTTCGAAGGTGTGGGGTGTATGCCAGAGGCATCTACTAAGTACCCTAAGAATTCTACCTGTGGCACCCCAATCCTACATATTGTTCTTTTGAGTTTGAGACCAGCCATTTGGAAGCGGCGCAGGACAGTCCTCAATTTGCTTTTGAGGTCTGACGGGCTGGAGGCGGAAATTAAAATGTCATCAAAATATGGAACGACCCCTGGCAGCCCGTGCAGGAGTCGCTCCATAAGGCCCTGAAAAATCCCCGGGGCCACACTTATGCCAAACTGGAGGCGGTGGCATTTGAATGCCCCCCTGTGTGTAACAATGGTTTGGGCTGCAGCTGTGGCAGAGTCCATGGGGGGTTGCTGATAGGCTTGCGCCATGTCCAGCTTGGCAAAAATGGAGCCTTGCCAAATGAGTGCAACAGGTGTTGCACTACGGGCACTGGATATGGGTTGGCCTGGAGCGCCTTATTGACTGTATTTTTGTAATCCGCGCAGATGCAGATTGACCCATCTGGCTTAATGGGTAGGACTATGGGGGTCTCCCAAGGGGCATGGTCAGTGGGTTCTAGCACACCCTGCGCTATGAGTTTGTCTAACTCTTTATCAACCAGAGGTCTGAGTGCAAAAGGCACCCTTCTGGGCTTTAGCCTAATGGGGGCTACCTGAGGGTCTAAATTGAGGGAGATGGGTGAACCCTTATATTTACCCAATTCATCGTTGAAGACGTCTGCGAATTCGGCCATGATGTCTTCAAAATTATCTGGATTTGTTGAATGGATGCCAGTTATGCCAAGCCCCAAGGCGCCAAACCAGTCAAGCCCCAGCAGGCTGGGCAGCTGGTCTCGTACGATGAGCAGGGGTAGCTTGCCTGTGAAGGTCTTGTGTTCCACCAGGAGCTTGGTGTTGCCCCTGATAGGGATGTCATTCCCCTGGTAGTCTCTGAGGTGCACTTGGCATGGTTGAAGTGCGCTTTTAGGCATTTTTGGAGCTATTTTCTGCAAGGTGTTCCAAGAGATCAGGAATTTGGATGATCCCATGTCTACCTCCATTTGGCAGGGGGTTCCTTCAATTGTCACAGTCATGTAAATTTTTTTATTGGGGCTGATTTTGGCTCGACGGGCAGACACCGCAGGGAGGTTGTTACCTCTTGAGATGGCAAAGCAGTCACCGCTTGGCTTCGTTGTCTTTTCGAACGGTCTCCTTGAGGGGTTGGGCTGCGCGCTTGGCAGATTAGCCCGGCAGACTCTTGCCAAGTGTCCCTTTTTTCCACATCTGCGGCAGATGGTGGTTTTGAAACGAAATGCCCTTGGATGCATTTCACTGCAACCCTGACCCTGCGAAGTCTTTGTCTGAGGTATTTCTTTTGCCCCTGAAGGTTTTGAGGCAGCTAACTTCATCCTCCTCTTCCTCAGTTACCTCAGAGTCTAGCTCTTCTGAGTAGACAGTGCTGGGTTTGCTGACAGGAGTGGCGGCTTGTGATTTGCGAATCTCTAAAGTGGACTTGCTTGACAGTTCACAAGCCTGAGCCTCCTCTATGGCAATTGCAAGGATAATATCTTTCTTTTCTAGCAAATGACGTTGCACCCTTAAGTCTCTTACGCCACAAACAAACTGCTCCAGTAGGGAGTCTTCCAGTTCGGCAAATTCGCAGTTCAAGGTAGCAGTCCTGAGGGAGGCAATATAGTGATTAACAGATTCTCCCTCAGCTTGCAGAATCTGCCTGAAAGTGAACCTTCGAGCAATGCGCGATGGCGTGGGCTCGTAGTGACACTTGAGCTTTTCCCTCAGGACTTCCCATGGTACTGACTGGACAGGGACAGGGGCTAGCAGGGCCAGTGCAACAGCGAACATCTCTGGACCACAGGTGTTTAAGAAATGCGCCCTTTTCCGGCTGCTGGTCAGTCCTGTGTAATCATTTGCCTCCAGGAAACACTCGAACCAAGCCTCATACGAATGCCAGGTTTCGGTGGCTGGGTTGAAAGGAGCTAATGTTGGAGGTGCCATCCTTATAAGGATGGGCTCTGTTTCTCTGTGAGGAATAGTTTGACGATGTCTCGTCGTTTAGTGACTCAATGTTGTGGCTCCATTGCCTGAGCCTGGGCTATCGACAGATGCAGACTCTGAGAGTGAGGGAGAGGAGTTGGCAAGGCCTCCCTCTCCAGGACCCTCCTCTCTGGCAATGCCTCCAGAGGACACCGAAGGCCAAGAGATAGGCTCAGAGCCAAGCACGTCCCCGCAGCCACAGGTGGACAGCAACGAAGTAGATAAGTGCTGGCTGGATCCTCGGCAGCGGCGCAGGGAGAAGCGTGTGCAGCAGAGGGGAAGGCGTGCCAGAGATTAGCTGAGTCACTGGACCACACCCCACAGGGTATAAATGTGGGTGTGGTGGCCGGTTAGTTTGTGACGAGCAAAAACTAGAAATAATCCATGATCTCTGTGTCGGACTGCATTTGGACTAATCCTTGTATTGCTGAAACTTTGCCTGCTTTATCGGAATGCTTGCAGTCTAATCTTTGTTTTGTGTGAGTAAAGTCTGAATTGGCAGCTAGCCACTGGGTTGCTGCCAGCTTTATCTTCAAAGATTTTGTCATGTGGCTTATTAACTCCAGGCCGTCTGTGGGTGCATGTATGGGACGGGGACAGAACACTCAGCTAGCGCCTTGGCTTAGCGCTAGTGACTTCAGCTGTTGATCTACCTGTCTCCTTACACCCGGGATCCCATCCTTGTTGCCAGTGCTCTGTAGGGTGACCCGGGAACCAATAACTGAGGCGAGACTAGGTTAAGACCAAACAGGAACTCTTTATTGCTAACTACAACTGTAGAAGCTAATGAGAAACAGAGCAACAACTTTGGCATTTGACAGCTATTTATACTGTAGCTGTCAAACTAAGTAACCAATGGGATGGCAGTATTCTCCCGCCGGCAAGTCCGTGCATCTTAGCCTATCAGGGACGGGCGTTGTAAGTGCAAAGACTTTGTCGTAAGTGCGAGGACTCAACATTAGCCCCTTCGTTCAGTGATATCATAATTTCAAACAGTCCCTGTAGAAACAGTTGATGGCCTCCTGTACGCCTTAAAATGCAAAAAAGATTGTTGGTATCCTTAGCAATTTTTTTTCCATTTCCAAAGACATTTCCAAAGAGTTCTTATTCTAATTGTATAATGCATGCTGTTTAGAAAAAAGTGATCCTCAAAATCATTATGAATTACTGACATTGGCTTTGTGTATATAATGTTTAAAAGAAAAATATTTTCCTTATAGCTCAGAATTAAGCACGACCATTCTTATTTCCATTCTCTGCTTGAACCAACAGTTTTTGGCAGTTTGGTCTTCGATCATGTGAAAGGCTGGTATACACATCAGAATGAATTCAATATTCTCTTCCTGTGCTATGAGGAAATGATCCAGGTGAGACTATTCACTTCTTTCCCCCACTTACTATATTCTTCCAAGTATAAAATGCACTTACCCCCACCAAAAGTGGGTGGAAATGTCAGTGCGTCTTATACAGCAAATGTTGCTGAAGCCCCACCCACCCTCCGGCCCCCACCCTTTGGCCGTTTTTTACCTCAGCGCATCGTGTTTTTGGCCGGTTCTAGGTGGCGGGGATTGACGGCCAAAAACGTAACATGCGGAGGAGGCCCAAAGCACAATGTGTGGAGGTGGCGATGGCCTGGGCGATCACCACAGCCTGGAACAGCTTGTTTTCCTCCCCAAAAACTAATGTGCATCTTATACTCCGAAAAATGCTGTATTCTTTTGTCAAGGTCAATAGGATTCAGGGAATAGGCCTGGACAAATAGAGATGCAGCTGCAGGTACAGTTCGCTTTTATCTATGATTGAACATTTGTGAATGTTCTGAACAACCTAACTTTTACATTTTTAAGGTCAGAAGAGTTCATGCCTGTTTTTCTTTTCCATTCAACATAAACTATTCCAGTGGGTTTGAAAATCAGACTCCTGCTAACTCTCTGCTTATGCAGCTAAGCAGAGTTTGTAGAGCTGATTCAGACAGGGCTTTTTTTTTCCCCTAAAAGAAGTGTATAGAAAAGGGACAAGGGTGGAAAAGGGTTTGTTCCAAAGCTTTTGGATAGATCAAGTTCCTGAAGAGGAGATACAGGAAGAACACACCATTCTTCTACCCCTATTCTCTTTTCATCCTTCTTTAAGGGTTTGACAAGTGCTGCAGAAGAGAGAAGCAGCCGGGTTAAATGCTGCTTCTCTCCACTGCAGTGCTTTCCGGATGTGACTTAAAGGACCCAAAGCGGCAGCTCGCGGCTGCTAAATTTCACTGTGCTGCACAAGACACTCTTCCGGCAGGCCACCAGCAAGAGCAGTGGTGGAGAAAAACAGCCGGGCTGGGCCAGTGTCTCGGAAGAGCACGTGGAGCATCTCCCCAAGTGACCGAGGCTCACCCAGCACCAAGGGCCAGAAGAAGTGGCTGCAAGATCTGACACGCCAGAGATTCAACCCAGCTGCTTCTCTCTGCCATAGCACTTTCACATCCTTGCTTCATGTATGTGCAAGACAAAGAATGTAATGAAAATGACTTCATATAAGAGCATGCTTTGCTCAATTTGTTAAAAGGAATTGAGATGTGGTCAGGAGAAATATAAACTTAAGGTGAATGGAACTGTAAATAGGTAACGAAACAAGAAGAGTTAGCATTAAGATTTAATAAGTGCTGTGGATTAAATACAAATGAGAGTAACCTATATAAGAGAAGCACATTTGTTGAAATGATTTAGTCATATTAATCAGGATCAATTACATAACAAATATTTGAAGGAACACTGAGTGGATGCAGAAGATGACAGAGAAAATGATAGTTATATGAAGCTGATAAGATTGGAAAGGTATAGTGCACAATATTGATTTAGCTTGATTTAACCATCTTTCTATTTCTTTCTCTCCTGGTTGCCTTACTCCTTTTCTGTGCTTTGCATAACATTACTTGTTCCCAAAGGAAAAAGCATGATGGGAATGGATCTATACTAATCAAATGGTTGATTAGTTGGTTTATATAGTGTCCAGCTCACTATAATATTTCTAGATGAATAATGTAAGATATAAAACACAATACAGAGCTGAAAATACAACTGAAGATCTATAATTGTTGATCTGAAGAAAATATATATATACTGTATAAATACCTGTATTCGTCTATTAGAAAACTATCAAGAAAACATTAGGATAATATTGACCCTATTAGGATGGAGAAAAAACAGTAGAGTATCATATAACATGTCCCATTACATCAATACAGGTGTGTCTGTATGTGTTTACATCTATGTATGTATGTGCATGTAATTATTTACAATACATACATACACACATAACTTGCTTCATCTGAAATTGATACAGATGTAGTGGGAAGTGCCTATTGTCCAGGATCTTTATCCAATTCATTTCCACGAGTGTTTTATCTGCATAAAGAAAGAAATGACACTTTTTAAACCTTTTTAATGCTATTCTATATAATGTTTTCACTCAGAAATCAATTCCGTTCTGTTCAGTGGAGCTTCCTCCAAATTAAGGGTATACAAGGGTATACTGTAGAAATATTCCAAAAGCAAATTTTTCTTCCAGGATCTCAGAGGCACGGTACTTAAAATATGCAAATTTATTGGAAAAGAGCTGAGCAGCCAGGAAGTGGACAAAGTTGTAGAGATGTCTACATTCAAGAACATGAAAGCTGATCCTAGGGCAAATTATGTGAAAACATATGAACAGTGTTTTGGACAAAAAAGTGTAAAGCATATACGCAAAGGTAATACCGACAGAACAAAATCAAACTTTGGTATTTTCCCTTTCTTGCATCTAACCATGGGACAAAAACGCTTCAGAAATCACTTCTTTTTCTCTTGTGTCCTCAAGACATTGACTTCTTGTCCCCAGCATATATCTGAGGTAGTTCTACGTCATCCTCAGCTTCTCCAGTGTTGAATGAACATCTCCACTTCTTCAGCAGGCAAAATCTATGTTAGTTTATTGTGGAGGAGAGGTGAATTTTGCACTCACGTTATTCCTGGGGGTAGGTTCAGTTCAACTCCCATTGGTCACTAGAAAGGACATGGCCTCAATTCACTAGGCCTATCAGGGCCATTCTGATTTGGACAGTGAAGAATCCAATTCTTTCTGATGAGGCTTTTCCCTGAATCTTCCAGATCTTGAGATGTAGCTTTGAAAGGGGGCTGAACCAGGCTGAGAGGTTGTGTTGGAGGAGAGAAAGAAAGAGGGAGAGAAATGGGAGATGAAAAGAGAGAGAGCTGATGTCCCTGCAACTTGAGCAATAGCTGGATCTTCACTGCTGTGCCCCACGACCCCTTTGAGAGGATTTCCTGGTCCTTCAGAAGTGCAGCTTTTTATTTATTAGGTTTTGATCCCACCTTTATTACCCTGTTTCCCCCAAAATAAGACATAAAGTTTGGGCTCAATTGTGTTTGTAACTCAAGGACTACATGTATATCCTCTTTCTGCTGAAAAAATTGTTCAAAGTAAGGTATTACTATAAAAACCTCAGCTGTGACTATCGCTGAGTCCAAAACTCACTCATTTACTTACTCCTGTGATGAATAAATGTGCTATGAGAGAATAACGGTGGCAGCTGGATCTTGTGGGAAGACAAAACAGTGGTTCCAGAATTGTACTAGATACACAGAGCCAAAAGGATGATCATCACTGGTGGGACCTTCATGGTGGGCAGGTCTGTGAGGATTCAGCATCAATGCTGGGGCTCTTTTCAGGAGAACAGACTATTGGCTAGGACCAATAATTGATTCTTCAATCTGCTCCTTTTTCATCAGGAACTGTTGGAGACTGGAAGAATATTATGACAGTATCACAAAGTGAAAGTTTTGACAATATTTTTCAAGCACAAATGAAGGATATACCTCTCAAATTCATTTGGGATATAAAAGAAATACAATCTACTCAGCATGGGAAGCTGCAGGAACCTCTCCAGGAGGACAAAGAGCAGAAATGTTCATCACAACCATAAAATGTATATGTACAATAGTTTAAACTATCACAATACACCTATGTATTTTCTGTATGTACTTATGTGTATTGTGTGCATAACTGCTTTCTTCTCAAAGTTGTTTCCTGCTTTCCTGTAACCTTAAAAAAACATGGCTTTCGGTAACCCCATCTTTTTCTTTTTCAAAATATTGAAAACATCCTATAATTTATCACCACAAATGGGTCAAGATATACCAGAATGATTTCATAAATATTTTTCAATAGAAACAAATGCTTTGGAGGCTGGGAGAAATGTCTTTTGTAATGAGTAGAGAATAAAGATATGCTAATCAATTTTTTTTATGGGTCAACATAATGGTTGCTTCAATAATGGGAAATCTCTTTTGGAACAGCACCTTTCTATATCTTGGATATATTAATTTTGTATTGCTTGATTTTATAAAAAAGATGAAGTGAGAGAAAAAAATATTTAGCACATTTGGTTACTTACATCCTACATCCAACAACTTTAAGTAAAACTTACTCATGATGTAGAGGCCAAGTCAGAGGCTACAGCTGATCAGTTTTCTCTATAGCTCTAGTTTAATAATAAGGTTAAAAATTAATTTGCAGTTGATATCATATGGAGCTTATTTTTCCCCTAAGTTCTTCTTTCTCTTTCCATATAGTTTCTTGCCAAACATTATCATTCTTCTTCCTTTATTTGATCTGCCTCACTAATAAAATTATTCAAAAATTAGTTGATCAGATCAATTTCATTAGGGTTTTTTAACTTGTTGCAATTCCGCAACTCTCAGTGGTTTACAAATATTAAAACACTCAATCATCGAACAATAAGTCATCCACAAGCAAGCCAAGATTAGTCCACCATGCAATAGCCGATAGTCCATAAAACAAATGCAAAGCTGCTCCAGCAAGTAAGTCCACTAAACCAACTGAAAGTCACTAGGCAAAACTAAAAGTACCTCCAGGTACTGTACTGACACTGGTCAGGAGAAGTTCAAAAGTCCAGCAGGAAGCATGAACAAACACACAGCCATAAATCATACACGTTGTTGCCAGCAACACCTCCCTCTGCCTGCCATACTAAATAGCTTCCTGGTGCATCCTGTCAAGAGGAGTGGGGCCTTCTCCTGAGTAATCTGGCAGACCTCCGTTTCTCTACCCTGCGTGCTCTGAGATCCACCATGGAAGGCAACTCTTCCCCATCCTCTTCACTTACCTGCAAGCTGTCTTCAGCAGAAACCTGTAATTCTCTTTCTCCTGGCAGTTCAGGGTCAGTAATTTATTTATTTATTTATTTGTTTGTTTGTTTGTTTGTTTGTTTGTTTGTTTGTTTAAATTTCTATACCGCCCTTCTCCAATATAGGACTCAGGGCGGTGAATAGCCAAAGTAAAAACAAGACATACAAAATCTAAAAACTGTTTAAAATAATTAAATATTTTGGCCGTAATTAAAACAATTCCAATTTAAAATCAGTTTAAAATTTAACTCAAGCCAGCCCAGCTAGTTGAAATAAATGGGTTTTCAGGGCCCGACGAAAAACCTTGTTCCTAAAATGCCAGGAATAAACTCATCCTCCCTCGAGCAGGCCTCCGAAAACGAGTCAGAGGAATTGTCCAAGGGAGACATCACTACTCCCCATGGTAAGACAGTAATATAAAACATATGGTTATATAGACTTCTGGTTACCAATTTTGGCCAGGCCATATAAATTTGTAGCAGTTTACTTCCCACTATTCAAGTTACTATCAACATTTAATCTGCAACAGATTCTATAAACTAACCTGAAATTCCAACAGCAAATATGAGGTTATAATTAAAGGTATGATGGAAAGCAAGGTAAACATTACCTCTAGGTTATCCCTTTGACCTGATTATCAAACTATGAACACATCACTAATGATATAAACCAGATGTAAGTTTTATTAACAGAATAAAACACATCTGACTTGATTCACACATCATGTTTAAACTACAGCTTGCAGATAAAACTGGCTAAAATGCCAACCTCATAGTTAAACCAACCAACAAATCAAACATGCTCTGTGTGAATTAAATCCAGGCGTCCATGCTAAATTCAGTTTGCAAGATACTTATAATTTCTCCCAAGTAATCTTCCCATGCTTTAATGCACATTGGGTTATCCTCTGAAGATCTGCCTTTTGGTACTATTAAACCTGCTTTCAAGGTAAAGATCAGATCTAGATATGTACATCAGTAATTGCTATAAACTAGAAATCAGAAGGAGACGAGTAGCATCTCACAAAAGCTTATGCCTCTTAATAAAAAGTGTTAATTTGGAAAGATGCTATCAGACTCCTGATTTGTTACTATCCCAGACTAACACAGTTCTCCTTATACAATGTATACAAGGAGTATTTACTCACTACTCATTTAGTAACAGAGTTCCTTTCCAACAACCAGGTCTGCAACGGAATGGTTGCTGAATGAACACATGATAGAAAGAGAGAGAGGGAGAATCTTTTCTTACACAGTTATACCAAGGCTTATTTGTTTATTTTATATTTCATATTTCTGAGCCATCCATCTCCCTCAGAGAGGGATTCTGGTTGATATACAATAAAGCATGAACAGAATGTTCTTTCTGTGCCAACTCAGAAAACTCAAACTGCCCAAAGAGCTGCTGATTCAATTCTACAGAGGAATTATTGAGTCTGTCATCTGTACCTCTATAACTGTCTGGTTTGGCTCTGCAACCATACATGACAGACACAGACTTCAACAGATAATCAGAACTGCAGAGAGAACAATTGCTACCAACCTGCCTTCCACTGAGGACCTGTATACTGCATGAGTCAAAAAGAGGGCTGTGAAAATATCTACAGACCATGGTGAAATGTAAAATTTGTTACTCCCGGTTCTGTGGGCATGGCTTGGTGGGGGAGACTAATGTGACTGGGTGGGCGTGGCCAACTTTTTTTTTTTTTCTTTTAAAAGCATTGTTTCTACTACCACTTTGGCCGAAGAGGTTGTAGAAAAAATGCTTTTAAAAACCTCTGAGAATCCCAGCTGAGCCATGCAATCATCAGAGGCTTTTTAAAAAAAAACTTTTAAAAGCATTTTTTCGGCCAAAGTGGTTGTAGAAAAAATGCTTTTAAAAGTAAAAAAAAAAATGCCTCTGATGATTGCGCGGCTCAGCTGGTCATGGGGGGTGGGGCAGGGATTTTTGCTACTGGTTCTCTGGACATCAGGTGATCTGGTCCAAACTGGGAGCATTTCATCCCTGCTGCATACCCTTCCCATCCTGGACATAAATTGTTTCAACTTCTACCCTCAAAACGATGCTATAGGGCTCTGCATACCAGAACAACAAGACACAAGGACAGTTTTTTCCCGAATGCCATCACTCTGCTAAACAACCAATTCCCACAACACTGTCAATTTATCTACTAAGACTATATTACTATTATTCTTCCCATCCTTACTAGTACCTCCTCTTCCCACTTATGGCTATAGCCATGTTGCTTGTATTATATAGTCTCATTCGTCATCTTCAGGCTGGTGTTTTCGGCTTCGTGCTTCTAGGAGCAATGTGTGATTGCAGCTGTTTCTTCCTTTTAACTGCCAGTGGGGGTGTGAATTTATTGGGTGGGAGCTTGGCTGTGTTCTGATTGGGTGGAAGTGTGTTCTGATTGGTTGGGGGTTTGGCTGTGCTCTGATTGGATGGGGGTGTGTTCTGTTTGGGTGGGGGCTTGGTTGTGTCAGGTATATATATATTCGTAGATTTTCACGGGTACAGGTATGCAAGTCTTGGTGTATTCGGGTCTTCTCCCGTGTAAGATTGAGAGCACTTTGGCAACATTTCGACAGAATCTCATCTGCTATCATCAGGTTTATGCAAGGGGTCTTCTGCAGCAACTGCCGTTACTATTTCAAATCTTCCCCACCTCTTCGTTCTGATTGGTTGGGAGTTTCAGTCTGTGTCTATTGGCTTGGCTTCGAGTGTATGGTTGGTTTTTCTCCACCAGGTGGCAGGGCTTCATCTTTGTGGCTGGCTGGAATGTGATTTGGTTGGAAGTCTCGGGGTGTGTGTGTCTGGCTTCTGGGGTGCAGATTTTTCTGTCTGTGGGTGCTGGGACTCATTTGTTGACAAGGGCTAGTTTCCAGATGTCTGGCAGGCGGGAGGTATTGTCACATTTATTCATGTTATGGGGGTGTTTTTCTATTTCAATGGCTTCCATAATTATTCTCTTGTTGAGGTGTTCAGTTTTGGAGATTAATTTGGTTCCTTCAAAATCAAGAAAAAAGAAATACAATAATAAAATACACATGCGTTAAATATAAAGAATCAAGATATAAATAATTGCATTGCCTTTAAACCTGACTAGGTGGCTCAGTGGCTAAGACACTGAGCTTGTTGATCAGAAAGGTCAGCAGTTCAGCGGTTCAAATCCCTAGTACAGGTCTCCTACATGAGCAAGGGTTTGGACTAGATGACCTCCAAGGTCCCTTCCAACTCTGTTACTGTTACATCGCCTTGATGTGATACCATGATCTCTTTGATCTAATGGGTTTATAACGTCTATAAACACTTTTCTAAGGAAAGAATCACTATAATACATGCCAAATAAGACTTCTTTCCTGATGTCAATCTGGTCATCATTAACAAAACCACAACACTTGGTGGTTTTGAGTGAAGGGGAAGTGTGAAACAGGTATCCCTTCCCACCCTACTGTATCTGATGAGAAAGAAGGGAAAAAGGCAACTCCTGCCATTCTTTTTTCTCCTTTCCACCTTTATGGTTTGTGCAATGTCCTTCACTATTCATCCCCTGCATGATACTGATCCAGGTTGTGTTTTATGTGGATATGGCTTTATCAAGTTAATTCTGGATTGCAAAAGGATTGTTGTTTATGAAATGATACTGCGATTTAGGTTTGCTTTCTGATGTCAACAGTCCAGAGTTCAAACCCTTTAAAGAAACAAAGTCAGTCACCCGTGCATCTTTTCACAGTCAACAGATAAAAGCGTGCTTCTAAATTTCAGGAGTGTCATTTTCCTTCTGCTCTGTTCAGTGCTTTATTTCTGAAAGATATTAAATAATCATCAAGAAAGAACCATAAAGGTAATTCTAAAAGATTTATTCCTAGCATTAAGACAGATGATAGTAGTTTATTAGAAAATGTTTGATTAAGATGTTAATGATTTTAAGCTTCGTTTTAAAGTAGTTCTGTGACGTTTTACTATTAACAGGTATAGCACATACATTGTTTCATTTTTTTTTTTAAAAAAAGTCATGTGGATGCAAGGATCAAAAAATGCATACATTTGTTTAGGATTAAACCAGTTTGACTTCATATATTAACC